CAAACAAGTGTAGACCTGTTAATACTTGTCCGATTGTTTACATTGTGGTGTCAGTTGATTAAGCGCTTTTCGGGTAATTACATATACCTCAGTTTGTATTGATCTCTCGAAGCATAACGATGGAGTGGGGCAAGGCAGAGAACCGTATTGCAGTGATAGCTTTACATAAGTGTAATCACAGTGCTAGTCAGATTTTTGAACTCTTACGCGGCCTTCAAATATCGCGTAAATTTGTGTCTAGGACCATTCAGCGGTACAATGAGACGTCCTCTGTTGATGACAGGCCAAGAAGCGGAAGACCTCGTCAAGTAAGGACTCCAGCAGCCATCAAAGCCGTAAAAGCCAGGATTCAAAGGAATCCACTCCGGAAGCAGAAGATCCTATCCAGGGAAATGAAGATTCCTGTCCGGACGATGTCGCGCATCATTAAACAAGACCTAGGGCTAGGGGCTTACCGGAGACGTACGGGCCAGCGACTTACGGCCACCTTGCGACACATCAGGGCGACAAGATCCAAGAAGCTCTTGGAGAGGTACGCAGCTGGGGGATTCCGAAAGATTTTGTTCACGGATGAGAAAATCTTCACCATAGAAGAAAAATTCAACCGACAAAATGACAAAGTGTATGCAAGGAGTTCACAGGAAGCTTCGGAGATCATTCCGAGAGTTGAGAGAGGCCACCACCCTGCGTCAGTCATGGTTTGGTGGGGGGTGTCCTACGAAGGGGTCACTCAGCTCCATTTCTGTAAACAGGGCGTGAAAACAAAAGCGGCAAACTATCAGAGCGACATACTGGATCCTATCGTCAAGCCTTTAAGTGGTACATTGTTTGCCAACCAACACTGGGTCTACCAGCAGGATTCCGCCCCCGCTCACAAGGCTAAGAGTACGCAGCGCTGGCTGGAAAGCAATGTGCCAGAGTTCATTGCTGCGGAAGATTGGCCCTCAGGGAGTCCGGACCTCAATCCTTTAGACTACAAGTTGTGGGACCTGCTAGAGCAGTTGGCCTGCTCCAAAGCCCACCGTAATATCGAGTCCCTGAAAGCGGATTTGATCCGATCAGCGGCAGCTATTCCTTTGGAAGCTGTGCGTGCAGTGATAGATGAGTGGCCCGCGAGATTGAAGCAGTGTGTGAAGGCCAAGGGGGGACATTTTGAATAAAACTGTTTGATTATGAATTCTAAAAATGTTGTCGAATAAATAATATCTTTCATATAAATATATCTTATCTTGTTTCATTTTCATCATGAGATTATCATGGGACAGAACTTATGGCACGACTACGTAGTTACCACCGTCGAGGTCTGACCGCTGTTCTGTCGATGTATGGCTGGCGAGTGGCGGGGTTTGTCATACCAACGTTGACAAATGGGTGGGGACTATGGACTGACTATCGATATGTTTCATTGACTTGAAAAATGTTTGTTTTATAGATTCACGTAGCTAACTTTACTGGTGTCGAACATAACTACTTATTAACTGACGGCAGCGTTGCGTGGGAAGTACAGAGCCATCCCAGTTGTGGACTTTTTTAGAAACTAACTGGTTTTTGATATAAGGAGATGGATGAAGTCGTGTTTTGCCACGCGGTATTTTTTTTTATACTCCAACTACCACGAAAGCCTAAGGCCTAAGCACCCATTGGGTACCGTGGGGCTATAGGGGGATACATGGGAAAGGGGGAACGCCACACGGACTCTGGCGAGGGAACACGTGTGCATGCAACATGCTCACATTCTGGCTCCGCCTACGAGATCCGCCGGGTGGTACCTCCGCGTTCGATAATCAGAGACCATCTACCACCTACGGACAATCATAACATCCATAGCCAAGAGAAAAATTTCTCCTGGGACGGGACTCGAACCCGCACAGCGCACGGCAACTGATCAGGAGACCGAAGAGTCTACTACTGCGGCCACCGCTGCTGCCTAAGAAGCTATAGGCAGCTATAGAGACTCTGAACATAATTTCATCGAAAAAAAGACGAATTGACTAAATTTGTCCATCATCTGATTAACTTTAGTACGCCTCATCGTCCACCACCAGATGCTATCAACGTTCCCTTTCGATCACTCACAACATCACCCGCTCTGTAGTAAATAGGGAAGGGTCTGTTTGCAAACCCTCTTGACTTATTAATACAACACGGTAGCAAAACTCATCACCGGCCTGAACCTTCGTCACAAGTGGGTATCGATAAATTGGTCCTCCTCGTCTGACAAAGACGCTGTCTGATCATGTTGTGTTCCTTGCTATTTGGTGGGCGATGACTGCAGTTAGTCCAGTATACAGGTACTTTGACCGGTGCAAGTGCTGTGACGAAAATGTAATTTGGCAAGGCCATGGATTGAGAATTATAAGAAATGTACAAATAGAGTGTGGCACTGAAGTATGTTTGTTTTCCGCATTTAAGCAAAGGAAATGCTGAGATCGCGAAACATTTTCAAAATTTGGCGAAGAGTCTTTCAATTGCGTAAACGTAGAGAAAGTTGCCTCCCAAATTTTGTGAAACGGTGAAGTAATGAATATTATAAAGTAATGTTTGGACTCCCCTTTTGTATGTCTTACATTTTTAGATTTTTTTGGGCGCGGCTCTTAAACTTTTTGAAGGATCAAGATTCTGGATTGAGTTTTCATTGTGTTTTGCTACCGCTAGGCAAGTCTTGTGTGGGTGGAGGTTAAAGTGAGAGAAACAGATGGGAAAAAGACAGATTTCATTGGACGGTAACCTATTTTTCACGACGTTATCACGTTTTGACGTCTAGTGATGTGAACAGCTGATCAGCAATTAAGACCTTTGTCTATTTATAACCTCAAACATGATCTCTAAACTAACTAACGTCATCTACTTCTAGCTTTCCAGATTAGCTACCATTCAGTATCTGTTAAGATTTCGAAAAAATACCACTTTATACTTTCCATGCATAAGCAGAATAAGTATTTAAGTATTTCTTTTCATTTTCGTCGATTTGTCGGTCGGTCGCACAGAGGCCCATTTACGTGAACGAACTTCTTTTAAAACTGTTACCTTAAATAATAAGCAAGTCATGGAAATAAAACTTTGCTTACGTTTCATTCACCATGGCAGACTATCAAAGTTTGTGATCCGTCATTCAATACTGCAAAATTCGAGCGGCAGTCCATTGTGTTGTGTTTTGAAAAAATCACAATATCTGAATATGCATCAAGACAGAGATGATACGAAAGTTCCTTTGTTGTAATAGGAATCTGCATTATTGTTGTTCTTATGTGCACCGTGAGTTTAGTGGATTACTATTTTTACTCCACTTTTTATGTTTTTCAGAGAGGTGATTTAATAACCTTCCGCCCTTTGCTCTAATTGAGGTAAAATATATTTATGAATTCAGGGGTACTAACGGATAAAATCTAGTCTAAATATTTGCTAATTTCTGAAAAGTTTTGAGAAATATAACCTTGCATAATGACATATTCTGACTAGTCAGAATCGTTTACTCAAGTTTCTTGAATATTTATTTTGAGTGAAATGGCCCTCAAATGCGTTTATAAAGACAAACTGATCCCTGGTTTGAACCCAACGAACGTAAAAACATACTTTGAAGTTGAGTCATTAATTTTCAGATAATGATTGTGGAAGGAAGATAAACCAAAATATGTGTGTAAAAATAAAAAAAAAATAAAACAAAAATCTTACCTTGTTTTATAAAGTATCCTCCCGACAAGTATTTCAGTGCGGACCAGTATTTGATCGTGCGGTCTTGGAGCATCGGCATGCCCTCCCCTGTGAGGTCTTAAGTCACCTGATTCACGAGCCCTTTGTACTACATTAACAAAGGCACGAGGGGTTGGTTACACTCGATTGGGAAACCGATACGCATAAATCCGTGATGCCGCGGCAGCATTTTGTACACATTGACTGAATACAACTGAATAAAATTGTAGTAAAGACGTGATAAGCGTTTCAAATTCTTTCGCTTTTTTGTTTCGGATGCGATGAACCGATAAGGCGGATTATATCCGTTGTTGCCAAACACTACCACATGATATTATTATTGAGACAGGGTGGTACTCAAACTTCTAAAGGGCTATAACTTTGTTACTTTAATTTTACCAGAAAAATGTTTAAGGGAAAAAACATTTCTTTTGATCAGATCTACTCACTGTTAAAATAAATGACTCAACTTCGAAGTCACCCAGTATATAACACGTATCTGGTCTCAGTTGCTAGACTTATTTTTAGTGCGCCTTTGAAAATGGCTTTCAAATGCCCAAAGTGACGAACTGACCGTTAATTCGAACTCAGCGACAAGAAAAAATCTAAATGGCAGTTGACGGGGCTCCATTGCTCGGCTTCATTCTAAAGTGCTCTTGAAGTGACCTTTAAATGCTGTCATAGAGACAACCTAACTATGACTCTCAAATCAGCCCCGACAACAATGACCCAAAAAAATCAGCTGTATCGAAAACCGTGTAAATGTGTTGAAATTGCGTTTACTAAACACAATCAACATATACGTTACGTTTTCACTTAAACAGTATGTTATGCGGAGACACTGTTCTACCAATTAACTAGATCAAATCGTAAAAACTATTTTAAGAGATACGGTGTTATTGTACTTTTTGACCTCAGTGCCTCTGTGTAATTTTATTTTATTTACCCTGCCTGTGTATTACGATTCTAATACATACACATACGTTGATTATATATTATTCAAACTAAAATATTTGTCAATGTACGGATTCCTACAGATTTTACCTAATCGAGACGTACATTTCCGTTCATTGTTCACAAAATGTGCAGCAAAAACTTAATTAGCTTTCTAAATTACTATGTTATATCGAATTTATGTAGATTTATTTCGGCTGAAAATTGTTTTGAAAATCATTAATGCTTGTTTGAGCAAAATATACATAGCTGAAGATGTTAGTTTACAGGTTTATCAAAATCCATGAATAACTCAAGTTTGCTGGTGTACCATATTTTATTCCTTCCATAATTAATGTTCATTTCGTGAACATTAGTGTTAGCGTACTGGTGTATGCTGTGCTCCATCCTATCGTAGTAGTAGTCGATGAACGCAGTGGATTTCATCGACATCAAGGCGTGTAGGATATCTTAAGGGCTAGTAATGGGATCACGTTCATCCCTTCTTCAAGGAGGATCACCGACGACTTAACCACGCTTTTTTCGTCGCCCTATAAATCGTCTCGGGGTTTTGCTATGGAGACACTCCGACACCCCGATGGCCAAAGAAGTAGGAGTGTTGAAAAAGGATAAACAAGGTCGGTTTATTAGGATAGTACCAATTCGAACAAGCAGGAAATGTGTATTTTATTTTCTTCACTAAGGATCGAGAAGCAAAAAAGGCGTCAAGCAGGTTTACTCTCCTGGGATAGATTGTACCTTATGTGTATAGGAGTATAAAACCCACCCTCGTCGAAGGGCTTGTTATACGTCTATACCCAGGTTCCTGCTAACAGTGCAAATATCTCTAACGAAAGTTTGTGAAACAATCTCCTCTCCTCAGTCAGCTTGATGCTAGCCTGAGTAAAATCGACTTCTACAACGCCATGATCCAAACCATGTAAGGAAGATCGCGCAGCAACGCCATAAGGATTAGAACGTGATCCGACACCGCAGAATGAAGCGCTAGGAAAAAAGTGGGCCATCCATTGCACAAATTTTGAGCCCAGTTCATTGTGACTCTTGAAATCGCCTATTGCTAAAGAATGATGATTTTTTAAGGAGTTAACCTTGATAGAGTTGTAAGGTGGTTCAGCAAGGCCAGACCAGAATCTAAATATAGGAATTTGTAGAAGTAGAAGCTGCTGCGGAGAATATCCTTCAGTATTCTTCCTTTCTTATACAAGTCCAAGTGCACATCTTTGTCAAGCGTCTCAATCGGAAGTTGTGGAACGGGCATATTGCAATCTGCCATCCCACTAACAACATCTGAGTAGGTACTCCAAAAGCGACAGTTCTGGAAAAATCGATTTGATTTTTTCTCTTTTATTGTACGAGATATTTTTCTTTATAGATATGTAGGAGAGCTGTTTTCTCTTTCATCTTATTAAAAAGGCTTCTTTTTCCTGTTTCTATGTAAAATGTGTTCTATGGGTATTTAGTTTCTAAATATATGCCATTATCAGGGTGTGCAAAGCACAGTAAACCTAGCAACACAGAGTATAGGCGAATTTTTTAATTCACCGGTTGAGCCACCGGTGTAACCAAAATTTCCGTCTGAGCGACCGGTTGTACACTAAACTTGTCTATAAACTATATAGACAAGTTTGGTGTACAACCGGTCGCTCAGACGGAAATTAAAAGAAGAAAAATTGGTTAATTGCTTGCACCGGTGGCTCAACCGGAGAATTAAAGACTACGCCTTATATGTAGATTCCAGAAGCGGAAAATCAGTAACTGTTCCTAGTTAAAGCTATGCGGGTCAGTAACTTAGTCACAACAATATTTAGCCTAGATGGTACTAGTTTTTCGACTTGTAATTCTTAAATGAAGCTTATGTGTAACTCATCATACTGGATTTGCTTATTGTGTGCATTATTGCAATCATACAAGTATCCAAAAATTAAGGTATCTTTTTTCAAATGTAATTCTGAAATACCAAACAGCTGGAGTGACTGGGTTTTTAATGGAAGGACAGAGATAGTGATCAACACCATCAATGTTGCTGCTGATCCCATAGGTGACTGTACGAGGGTTGGTTATATGCTCCACCCCTGATTACCTTCCCATAAAGCTACATGTGGTGTAAATGTTCCAGTTTCCTACTCAATCCCTTCTTACGTCAATGCTCTTGTTTAAATATTCAGAATTTCAATGACTTTCCGGTAAGAATATTGTCCGACTGATTAGTAACATTCCCCTCACATATATGACCTATTGCTTACATGAGAACTTCTTTCCTCGTAAATGGTGTTTTTGTTTCGGAGATATTATAATATTAGTGGAATGCAGGACTGGCTAATGCGGTGGTTAGTCTAGAAATTCAAAGCTTGCCTGCTGTAAGGCAGCAATACGTCACTTGTTAATTTCTCCAACAAAACGATTTGGCATTTCTAAGGCTCCTTCTTCTGGTGGCATATGCAATGCCATGTTGGCGATAAATTGTGTATTTCTCTTCAACGGCTACAGGATGACCAAGATTACTTCTTCGGCTTGTCGGAAAATGGTAGCTGGATCGAGTATACCGCACCAGTTTCTTACATTCGTCAACCATGAATGTTGTTTTCTGTCAGGACCGCGCTTCTCCTATATTTTCCTTTGTAGAACTAACTTAGGTGTCGTGTACCGGGACTAAGTTTGTCTAATACGTACCTCTGGTGCTACACGTCTATCTTGTAATACCGTTTCAACCAATTAATAGGTGGCCCACTGACCTGTTTGTTTTCAGATTTTTCCGCACTTAAAATCACGACATCAGCGCTCCAACAGTCGGCACAATATTTGGTTGAATTTCGGTGCGCGCGACACCTCTTTTTTGCAAGCGCTCGATTGAGGCTCAAAAATCAAATAATGCTAATAGAGTTTGAAGTATAAACCCAATATTTTGCTAACATAGCCTAGTAATATCAACTGCTTTACCGTCAACAATATTCGTCAAATAAACGTCTGTCAGGAGAGCAGAGGCGGACCATAGAAATCTACCCTCCTAAAGATCAATTTAATATCGGTGCTGGTTCCTCGCGGACGATTTCCACCCATGGATTCCGAAAGGCTTATGATCATTTTTATGAAGAGAAAGAGAAGATTAACCGATTGCTTAGCGTAGGTAGGAAACATGTAGATTTTGCCCTACTAACATTTCAACATGCTTCTGAACGTGCTCTGAAGGAGCACAAGTGATTTTTACGCAGTTATATACCGACCGAACTCTCATTCTCATCGGGTTCCCTCCGCTGCGCCGCAAATTATGCAAATCTGGAGGGCGAGGAGCACAATAAAAACGTTGATGCTGTTACGGGCTTATTTCGTTTTTCACCGGATCCACGGGAAATATGTTCGCCGGAACTCCACACACGCTACCGGAAATTTTGTTTATGTCGTCGGGGATTTTTTTCTGCTTTTAACGCGAAAAACGATAAATATGCGGGCGAAAAGGGGGCTTGTATATTGTGTGTGTTCTCCTAAAGGCTGGAGAATGCGTATAGCGGAATTGGATGCCATTTGTACTGCATGACATGTGTTTGCTTTCAGGATTCTCGATTTTTTGTGAAATGCGTTATATCTAACGTCTGCCAAAAATTCCCTTTCACTTTTTTAGACGAAATGTTACGAGTTCATGGTAAATAAAACTCTTACATCGAAAGAAAAGAAGAAAATTAGCTGGAAAATTGTGCACTGTGAACAGTTACCAAGACTAGGTTCACATTTGTTAACCAAAGTGTAACATTCGTCCGTGGAATAGGCCCTGAACTCATACCGAAAATATTTTGTCGACTGCCATGACCCTTTAAGAACTGTAAACATTATCGTTAGCTAACCTATAATGGGCTTTATTACGTTAACTCCTGTGAAGTTTTCCTATATGATTTGCAAAGAGTTATTCATTTAATCTTGTCTATAGTAGTTGAGGTTCCATCAGTTTGAAAATAATTGGCTAGCTGTTACTGGTTTTTTTTCATCGGCCCTAACCTCAATTAGCAAACAGCTGTTTGTTTTTACTTTGTCATACGTCGAAGTGACTGCGCCTGTTCCACACAGTATGATGTCCAGAAGTCTAAGTTCCGTTGCTGAACTTCTGGAATCGTCATTTTTTGGCTGTATAAAAGTAATTTATCTGGTGAATCTTGATAAATTTAATATCCATGGGGTATCTAAGATTTCATCATGACTATAGCTACGTCGAAGCTTCTCTTTTAGATCTCTCAATAACGTAGTTGTGCTCACGTCATGATGCACTCATATCACATTTTGTCATTTAATTTCACGCCTGCACGCCTTTTTTGCCTCTATTCAATTTCTTCTCTTCTTCTCGGCTGCCGATTTTGCTTTAATCTTCTATTGTTCATCTGTTCCTGCAAAAGGTGCATTGGAGATCCTGATGCAGAAACATCTATGAAGACCTTTTCATGCGCCAATGATCGTACAACGAATCATACCCCGAGCAACCGATCCTTTTTTTCAAAATTCAACCATTTTCAGCTTAACATCTTGAAATTGTAAAATAGTATGTGACGATAGTTTGATTTCAGTCAAAGTACATTTGTTAAGTTAGTATTTTGTTCCGAAATTTACGATTTTACTTATGAACAGATATTGTAATATCTTCCTACAAGTACAGCATTGTGTAATCTAATATTTTGGGCAGTTGCAAGGTTCGCCGATTTTTTATATACCTTCATTTTTCTCGAATCGACTACTTAATTCACGATCCTGAAAGAGAATTCAGGAATGGCCTATTGAGTAACAAACGACATGCTCGTCATCCCCATACCTAAGCGACTCGTAGCAGACTCAATTTTCTCATATCTTGAGAATAAACTTAAATGATATCCCAAATATGAAATCAGAAACCCAAACAAGGATCTTTTGCACAAAAAAAACCATGCATAACCTGTTACTTCCACAAGCCATGTCGTCATTTGAATCCGAGATGGTTTCCCATCCCTTTGTAATGTTTGTCTAGATGATTAACGATATAGTGATTTTTTTTAAATGATGTTTCGGTTTATGGAGAGACCCCGGACTTATTCTAAGTGTTTATAGGCAAAAATTGATTTACGCTTGCCGAGCCGTTTCAAGGTTAGTTTAAGAAAATGTGGTATTTCCTTTAGTACTATGTTAAAACAGTCTCTAGCAAGAGAATAAGCTCATCTGATTCATCCCACGTCGCAGGACAGCTCATCAAATATGACCATTTTTCTATAGAAAATTAGTAGTTTTGCGTTATCACTACAAAAAATTTAACCCTCAGTTCTTGTTTCGCGTTAAGTGTTATGCACTCTTTGTTAAATATGCTTGTTTAAATCAACGATTTTTGTCCTTTTTGCAATAACAAACTACCCGCCGCCGCAATTGAACTTTTGAAGTTATTTTCATTGAATACAAACCACTTGTGGACCACTTTCTCCAGTAGCTCATGTTTTTTTTTGATGAACGCAAAAAAATAATGTTTACAACTTTGTGGCTTGATGAAAAACTTAGCTAGCAAAATTATTTGTATCTCTCGATACAGAGCCTTTTATCAAGAACCGTCATGAATATCTAGAATTGTAGATGTATCCTTCTCTCCCTCTCGA